GTAGTGTTTTACACTATAAAGTAAGTTAGCCAAAGCTAGACAACTGTTGTTGGGAGGTCAGTCTGACATCCTATTGCATCCACAGCCACTGGATCACAGGAAAACAGGTACATTGAATCATCCTTCCAGACTAGGTGTAGGGCTACACTTCAGCTGTCCATGAAAAGATGCTTAATAACAGACTCCAAACAAGCCAAATAGGGTGGTATCCGTGTGGTCCAGAACAGCCTCTTCCCTCACCGGGCCGCGCCTCTTGATATTCTCAGCATAAAGAGAAAAGGGTGAGCGTTGCTACATCATCTGAGACCTCCAAGCATTCCCAGCTAGCTGACCATTGTATCTAGTGCACATGCATGCAGCATTTGGTCTTCAACCATCAACCTGAAGGTAATCTTCGCTAAAGATGAAATACGAAAAGATAAACCATGTAGTCGATCCCTTACTAGTTTTTAGTTAAGTTTGCCGAGTCTAGTAGAAAGGTTCAGGGTGTAGCTTAGCCTGCAGCAAGACCAACTAGGGGGCCTTTTCGCGCAAAGCGCACTTTAATTTGGGTTGTGTAGGCACTACGAGGTTGAAAAAGCTAAGTTCTCACTCCATATGGGTTGGTCATCGGCGCTGACGAGTAATTACATCCGACAAACCGACGTTGTATTACCTTGGGCACGCCGCCCGCTCTAAGGCAAAGTGCCTTGAAGGCTTCCTGTGGATTTTCTCGCCCCCCTCATTTTGGGGGGATGAGAGCCTTCTAATAGTTATTAGTGTGCTCGCTTGATGTGGGTGGCCTACTGACTTCCACTGTAGATGGCATGCAGTCCCTGCCCTCGGAGTTGGCGGCAAAGGTGTCGGGGGCTTTTGTTTAGACTTCCAGTTTCGCCACGCGCTCTGGATGGTGGCTACTCGGAGTTTCTGTGTTTAGGAGCTGGTGTCTGATGATGCGACTGGGGGCTAAAGGGCGCACTTGCGTGGGCAGCCGCTATTGCCGCTTCTCGTGCTGCTGGACCTGCTCCTTGCTGATAGGGAGAGCAACCGCGATTATGATGACTTGTCTTTGAATTCCAACCACGCTTTCACGAATTAAAATGTATTATGCATTTACGAAGTAGCGCAACACAACCGTTCGACGTCATTTATTGGCAGTTTCAGGTGCCTACATGCTCAGCGGGGACCAACCACCGCTAAGTACCGGCAGACACCCCGGACAGAGCACCTCCTTTCTTACGCACATATTTGCAGAGGCTATTCAAGCACCACTGCATCTTCACATTGCAAGATACTCATTAGCCGTGTCACAAGCTCTTTGTCGTCGGAGCATCGGGCTTAGGGGGACCAGGGTTGGTGGTGTGAGGGTTCACGATGGAACCCTCAATCTTCTCCTCACCGGGCCTAGTTATCTCTCTCTACTCACGCTATGCCAAAACACACCCGTTGCTTCTGCAGCAGGAAGCAGCAGCAGCGGCAACACGTGCGACCGAGCAGGCCGGAGGCGCTCGCGGTAGATCGCGGATGCCACCAGAGGTTCTACAAGCTTGGGGATCACCAACAAAAATCAGCGGCTCTACTTGTGATGTCCTCGCGCCTCAGAGCCTCGTGGAGCAAGTGACTTGCCCCATATGCTTGGAGGTACGTCAACGTGTGTCTAGAGGCTCTTTCTACAGGGTTGCAGTTGCACAGGAGGCTTTTTTTTTAAAAAAAAATAGGTTTCCTGTTGCACAGGAGGCTTTTTTTTGAATAATAGGGTTGCTCCTGCACATGAGGCTTTTTAAAAAGGATTGCTGTCGCACAGGAGGCTTTTTTTAGATAGGGTTGCAGCTGCACAAGAGGCTTCTTGTTAAACAGGGTTGCAGCTGCACAGGAGGAGCTTTGCTTCGATAAACGAGCATAATAGTTTATGTTTGGGATAGCGTGCGCAACAGCGTCTTCAGCCCGCTTGGTGGTGTCTCCGTGTTCTTCCCATACCGCCTGTTGCGGTGCAAGGTCTTTCTTCCTTCCCCCAGTCTTCCTTGTTTGTACATGCCCCCCTTGCTCTCCTCGTTTCTATTTCACTTTCTGCGCCTTCTTGCTGCCTTGCTGTAGGTACTGAGCCAGCCTCTTCTGACGCCTTGTGGTCACGTAGGATGCGGCGTATGCATGATTCTCACAGTCCGCAGTCGAGGACGCTGCCCCCTCTGCAACTGCAGCATTAGCAACCCTCGAGTGCTTCAGCCTTTTCTTTCCAAGTGCATTCTGCAGCAGCTACAACAGCTGCAAGAGCGGCAGCCCGAGGAGGAGCATGCGGCTCAACAAGAGCAGCCACGTGAGGCTGTGCAGCGGCAGCAGACGTTTGAGGGCACTGAGGTGCTGCAGCTCTTGCAACAGCTGCAGCGGCAGCAACAAGAGGAGGAGGAAGAGCAGGTGCTGCTGCAGCAGGAAGATAGCGACTTGCTGATCGCCGATGTGGGGAGTCAACTGCCACTCGACCAGGCGGAGAGCCCTCGGCTGCAGCTGCAGCAGCACGAGGGAAGCGAGCAGGAGAGCCTGGACGAAGAATTGCAGCGCATACATCCTTTCTGCTTCTCAGAGGCGCAGACGATGAGGGGGGCGAAGGTTCTGCAGCGGCTAATCGAACTGGAGGAACGGCGTGAGGAGCATCGCAACGCCACCAGTGATCGGCAGGAGGCGAGCCAGCAGGAGCTGCTCGGCAGTTATTTGGATCGCTTTTCCCAAACTTATTATACAGTGAACCTCAAACAGAGAGGGCAGCGAGGGGCCGCTGAGACTTACCCTGCACAGAAAGACTTTTCCGGAGGCGCAGTTGGAGACGGCCAAGAGGGGGGTTTGCAGGGGGGGCAGTGGCTTGGATCTTTGTTGAACTGGCAACCGTTTGGTGTGGAATTGATGCAAAGAGCTTCCTTTTACAACCGACTTTTGGTCCGCTGCAGCGCATGCAGGAAAGTCATACCCATCGCCAGGTGAGCCGATGCGCGCATACATGCAAGATCTCTCTTTCTACAGTGTATTTACGGTGTATGTACATTGGTGGAGTGCGGAGGCGGTAGGGCTTGGTCAGGGATGGTCAGAGGCTCACAAAGTTGATGGGCAGGTTGTTGTGGCAGAGCTTTGTCTACTGGATGAGTGGGAAGAGTGGAGCGTCTGCAGTTGTCTCGATAGCCGTATTTTAGACCATATTAGCAGCTGCGTCTGTGGGTGTCGTGTCTGGAGGGCTCTATTCAGGCTTCATCACCACCAGCAGCATCAGTGCAGCTTTATTCCATGTCGTTTCGCGCCGTTTGGATGCGGGATTTTGTTTGAGCGAAAGGATGGGCCTCTGTTCTCGCGTTGGCTCGGGTTGCATAGGCAGTCAGTAGCTGCAAACAAGGCGCTCATGTTGCTGCAGTCGAAGCGGAGGAGGAAGCAAGCAGCACGCGCCGCTGCCGCTGCTGCCACTGGTAGTGGTGGTGGCAGTGGCAGTGGTGTTTTGAGTGCCTGTACGGGGGGAGCAGCTGCTCTAGCTGCGGCTGCTTCTCGCAGCAGCAGCAGCGGCGCAGCAAGCCGTCTAGAGGCCACAGCGGTAGATCCTCTGGAAGCGGAATCTCAGGAGGAGCAAGAAGCTCGTGCTCACTTGGAAAGTCTGCAGCAGGATCTGACGCGAGTGCAGCAGCAGCTCAACGCTGCACGAAGGGGCCACATGGAAGCTGTGCAGCGGCATGAGGCTTCTTGCAAGCGACGCCTCGTCAAGTGCGCATGCTGCCTCAAGTACATCACGCTAGAGCATGCAGAAACATTTAGGGATTGGCCTACTGCGGAGCAGCAGCAGCAGGAGGGCCTTGTAATAGTCCAGTCGGATACACTTGAACCCCTCGCTGCATCGGGGGATTCGGCAGCAACTACAACGAACATCACGACACAAGAGGCAGCAGCAGCAACATCAACAGGCACCACGACACAAGAGGCAGCAGCAGCAACATCAACAAGCACCACGGCACAAGAGGCAGCAGCAGCAACATCAACAAGCATCACGGCACAAGAGGCAGCAACAGCAACAACAACAAGCATCACGACACAAGAGGCAGCAACAGCAACATCAACAAGCATCACGACACAAGAAGCAGCAACAGCAACAACAACAACCCCAATTTTTAATGCCCAAGGCACCCCAGCCGAGGAAGCACAGGCAGCTCCCGCAATAAGGCGTGCAACCCAGCGTGTGCGTTACTTTCCGCTGCTGGAGCCTTCAGCAGCGTCTTGCCTCTTTGGGTTCTCCCCTGCTGAGACGGGTGGGGATCTTTCTACCGAAACAGAGGCTGGAGTCTTTGCGCCTTTCTCCCCAGCACTCCGGCACATTGGTGCGTTGATTCCACCGTCAAAATTTGCGTGGTTTAGATACTCCCATGCGTCTAGTGGCCGCCTGCCTGCAGCGAATGCTGCGAAGCCTCCACCAGTGTGGGCTCAGCAGTACATAGCCTTGCACGTGTTCTTGCTGTCTAGACGCTTGAGCACTCGAAGCGCCAGGCGTACGACTTATGAATCTGCCATTTGCGAACGCAGCGCATGTGGAACAAGCACTTGCTTACCGCATCGAGACGGAAGGCTTCGAGATGCACGCCTTCGAATGCAACGGTCCGTCCTCAGAGACACACAACATGACTCACGCCAGCACATCTTAAAAGAGGGAAAAACTTGCAAACTACCGCAGGACGGGATGGATGCACACGCACCTGCACACCTAAAAACCTACGCCGCAGCTACACAGACAAACAGACACACACACGCATATATACATACACGCATACATGCTCATACACATACATACACGCATATATACATACACGCATACATACACACACGCATACATACACACACGCATATATACATACGCACATAGATACACACATACACATTTGCTTACACACACATACACATGCACTACACACACATACACCTACACTACACACACATACACATGCACTACACACACATACACCTACACTACACACACACACACCTACACTACACACACACACACCTACACTACACACGCATATATACATACACATACACACACATACACATTTGCTTACACACACATACACATGCACTACACACAAATACACCTACACTACACACACATACACATACACCTACACTACACACACATATACATACACACACGCATATGTACATACGCACATAGATACACACATACACATTTGCGTACACGTGGAGGGGGGATGGTGTAGCGGGTTGTAGGGGAGACACAGGAGGAAATCAGGGTGTCGCACGCAGTAGAGTTCCTCTTTAGAGATGCTGCAGTGGTGAGTGTGCGTGGGATTCATGATTTCTGGAGTTTGTGCTGGGTGCCGCTTACGGTGTCATCCTCAGGCTACGTGCCAATTTGTTCAAAGAAGTGTGCAGTGCTAGAACCGCAGCGACTCCGCACAGAGTTGCATGAGGCTCTGCTCCTCCTAGGTGAGCGAGCTGGAGCTTCGCGAACTGCTTGCCTGCTGAGCCTTTAGCCTCCCTTTAGGCGTGGGCTGCCTGCCTTCCCCGTCGCGTGGCTGCTGTCTACCGCTTCTCGCTGTTTAGCGTAATTGCTGGTCCCCTGGGGAAGCCTGCCAGGATTGACGGTGCATGCTTTGCGTGCAGGAGCTACGTGGTCTTTGGGGCTTCCTTTGTGTTTTCTTCTGGGAATCGTCGTCTCCCAGGCTTCGCAATCTCTGCTGGAGCGCTTGCAGCTGCTCTTTCCCTCGGTTGCGTCTTTCATCGGGGGTGAGCTGTTTGTCCCTTGCATCGCAGCAGCGTTTTGTGTATTTTTAATTGCGTATGCATGAAGGGGGAAGGGCGGTAAGAGGACGGGTGAGCCTAATTGAGCTGCACGTTCGCGTCTGCCTGCTTGTGGTTCTTCCTCCGCAGGGGTGTGTGCCGGCTTCTTTAAAGTGCCTGTCCACGCGCTCAGCGTGCTCCGAGGGTAAAGTGTGAGAGCTCGCGAGAGGGAAGTTGACACTCTTAGTGCGTTAGTCATCGCTGCATGCTTCGCTGCAGGGTAGCAACGGCCCCGATCTCCCTATGCCTCTGTTGTGGCGTGGTCGGATAGCGCTTTGGACGTCGAATCCAAAGGGCGCGGGTGTAGCAGGGAGGTCTTCAGGAGCCTCATCTAGAGAGAGAGTGTGTGTGTGTGTGTGCAATCTCCGGAGTTTCCACCCCCTTCTCTATGCCTTCTGCTGGTTCGTTTCTTTCTTCTACTGGTGTGATGAGCCGTGCGGCTCGCCTTTTCGACTTTTGCGTCCCTTCACACGTCTTCTTAGTTCCTGTCCGTGTTGGGGGTCCTTGGGTGCCTAAAACATTCCACATATCAGTCTCACGAGGCTGCCGCCCTTCGCCCTGTCTCCCTCCATCGCAACCTCGGTTCGCCGTGACGGGAAACACGTCACCGTGTAAAGCCGCTTCCAAACGCAGGATCTCACGAGCCTAGCTATCGTGGAGTTCTGTTCGATTTACCCTTGAGAGCCCTCCTTCCCATAGCTGCACCACCCTCTACGATCCCAGGGTTTAGGGATAGATACTAAAGTTGAGGCTCTGGCGGTGGGAAGCCTGTTGTGACGCTACGCCCTTGTGAGAAACAGCCCAGATGCAGAACGTTGCAGCTCTCTCGTGCACATTTGGCATGGGTGCTACTGCTCTAGTTGTAGCTGCTTACGACTACCACTTCTCCCTGTAGAGGTTTTTCTGCAACAGCGACGTCTCCTGACGCCTGCCAGGAGGATGAACTCCTAGCGGGGACCATTAGTTCCCTGCCAGTGCAGTGGCATCGCCTGAAAAGCGCTGATGCCCCTGCATCCCCGAACACAGATACCCGCCTTCCAACTGCCCCTCCCCTGGCGGTTCGCGGGGAGTTCCCTTTGAAAGCATTTCTCCCGCGCACTTCTAGAATCCTCCTCCCTTTGTCAAGGGCAAAACAATGACCCTTCTGGCAGGGAAGGGAGGCATTTGTGCCTAGCTAATGGGGGCTTCTCAGGGGGGACAGCCCCTCTTCGATCGATCCCCTGCTGCTTCCTCTAGCTTGACGGCTCTTTCCTGCTAGGGAGCTTTTAACTCTTACCGCCTGCTGCTATTCGCAGCATCTCCTTCAAGCAGACGACTTTGCGGGCTGTTCGCCCCTCCGCCTTGCCTCTCGTTTCCTCCTCAAATGCAATTTTTTTCCAACCATCAAACGAAACACCCTGGACTCCTCGGGAGCCCAGCAAAGCATCCAGGGCTGCCAGAGCGTCTGAACTGTCTGGCGATGGGGGGGGTGCCGCTCGTCCTTTCGGATCGTCTGCCGTGGAGGCAGCATTCCGCGGTGTTACGCAGTCATGCGGGCTTGACGGGGACATGCTCTCACGCGTCTTCTCAGAGCTGCGCATGCGGTCTGTGAAAATCTGTTGGGCTGTCTGCTGAGCATCAATCAGGGAGTCGGCAATCGTCCCTTTGGGGCCGCCCTTGAACCAGCCACTCACGTAGAGGGCTCCTAGCTTTTCTCTGTTCGTCCCTCTTTCCTCCACTGCTGCGTCTTCCTGGTGAGGCGGCAGCACCCTCCCGCTGGTGTGCAACAGCAGCCCTCTGGAGCAAGTAGGCAGGACGGTGGAGAGGAGGCCCTTTGTTGGAAGGGGCTGTTTCTTTGCTTCTCCCGAGCCCTCTACGGCCGCTGCTGCTGCAGGTTCCGGCACTGGACGGAGCCGCTCAGAAGCATTAATCTTGAACCCAACGCTCCAAACCATTAAGGATGCTGGAAATTCCTCAACGCCTCCCGGCTGGCTGTGCTGCGCGGAGACCGCCTTCTGGGCGTGGGCGGGGCCTGATAAAACGTTGCGCTGCAGCAGGACAGAGCCGATGCTTCCTGGTTCTGCGAGGGAGCATGCACACGCTCTCCACCCGAGATCCTCTCATGATGAGAGTCCCTTAACTCTCCCACAGCCATGGCTCGTTTCTGCATACTGCGCAGACGACGTAGTTGTAAAGGTGGCCGCCTTTGGGGCTTTTTATGTGGGCCGCTAGGGAGGAAGGGAAAGACATGCCCACCGTCTTTAGAGGGAAGCACTTCGAAGGGCGACACACAAAATGAGAGTTGCAGTACGGGGAGTCCGCAGGAGAAGCGGCGAGGCCACTGCGGCAGAAGATAACAGCAGAAGAGCAGGAAGGATCGGGAGAGATATTCACAGGGCCCGCACACGGGGCATGCACAAGCTGCAGCAGACGGAGCAGGAGGACGAGTGATAGAAAGAGGGAAACAGGTCTTAGGCAAACAAAGAGCTTGGGGCTCTTTAGGCACACCAGAAGGTCCAAAAGAAATAAGACGTGCAAACTGGAGATAAAGGATGAGCACACAATCAAGCGAGGATCGAACATCGCAGCATGCAGGCCTGGGTGGGAGCCCTGAGGTCATTAGCGGCAGAAATGCCCCCATAACGTTGAAACTGGAGAGCGCCCCTTCTCTAGCGTCATATGGTTAACGGGGCGTTTTCTGGTATTCTCTGCATGCGTACATATGTTGCGGATAGCGGTTATCTATCGGGTTTTACGAAGCCTCGTAAAGATATATACGCAAAAGTATATGAGAGCTCGCATACGAAAACTGAGACCCCGAGACAGTGACTATTCTTCCCCCGCATACTCGTTTCCACGCTGAGATGTAGATATTGCTTACGTTCGCTGCCATCTGAGTGAAGAGTTGCTGAGCCCTTTGCTTCCTCCTTGATTGCTGCATCACGCCTCATAAAGTAAGAGACACTGCACGCCGCCATAGAGGAAAAATGGGGTGGGAGAAGGCGTGGAAAGGCAGAGAGGGACGCTCCAATCGAGACACGCAGTCCTCAGGAACGCACCCACAGCGGGGTCGCCACAAAAACAGCATGAGCCAGATAGTGATGGAATAAATCTGTCACGCGAAGAATAAGGTCCACTGACTGTAGCGAAGGGCAGGTCTACGGCTGTTGAGCCCAAAGCACCTACACACGCTGGGGCTGCGCACTTGTATTTCTGTTCGTGAGGCTTCATTGAGGCCCTCCTCGAGCTCTTTAGGGTCAATCACAGCCAGCAAAGAAGGTTCCTTCAGAAGCTGCGACGCAAACACGCGCGGCAAATTCCTCCAGCCGCCAGTCGAGCACAGCGGTTGGCCTTGACCAGGCGTAGATAGACCGCACAGCTCGGGGGCGAAGAAGGAATACCTCCCTCTAAGCGGCAGCGGCAGCGGCAGCCAGCAAAGGAACTCCAAGTGCTGAGGGTGCCTCACTGCCCTCAGCTCCTTGTTGGTAAAAGAGGCCTGTGCAGGGCCCCGCCGTCCAATTACGCGTATCCACCTAAAGCGGCGACTGCGCGCCCAGGTGTATGCAGCCTCGTTGATATCGGTCGTCCACAGTGGCACTGGGGAGTGCATCAGAGACTCAGAGCTTGCAGATCTTGCAGCTGCGTCTGAGCCTTCTATGCCCACTCCCGAAGGGTCTGTCTTCTCCCGCGCTTGCGGCTGTGTGCGGGGCGTGTCCACCGCTGCCTTCAGAAGGACGCGTGCGACATCGAGAGCTACATTGCCATGCCTGCCAGGAGTCACAACCACAAGCAGGGGTATACCGCGCAGAGCTACACGGAAGAGTTGGCGTGAATTACAACCAAGTTAACGTCGGTTTGGAGCGCGATAAGATCACGCAAAATGGCGCATCACCAGACGCGTGCACCGACAAAGCAGACAAGGCAATTAACTGCATGTGTATCTGAATGGCAGGTGTCTTCAAAGTGTTTTTTCTCGCTATGCTGCAAAAGGCAGCCACGATATACACTGGAGAAATCCTGCAGAGAGACACAGCGCCAGCAGCGACACGGCGGGGAGAGAGAGTCTGAGGCAGAAGGCCTCCGTGCTCCTGTGGGTTGCTCTTTACCCCACAACAAGGGCCTTCGTGCAGTGCGCTTTGCCTAGATGCGCTTCCAACCCCTGCATTGCGGGATGTCCATTGAACCATAGGACAAGATCATGAGCTGTACATACACCCGAAAGAGTTGCCCCAGGTACTGGCAAGGAGACGCCGTCTGCAATGGCACGCAGCAGCAACAGCAATACCGACAACCTCGGTGAAAGCGGGATCTTGGGGCGCTACCCCCAGCAGGATTCCCATCGAACTGCACATGTTTCGAGGGAGCAGCTGAATTTGCGAGAAGACAATTGCATTCAGTCGAAATGACAGAGCGCGAATGCAATGCAGTATGCTGCACCGGGAGCGGCCTTAACCGCTAGTCTATCCATTCTAGCCACACAGCAATCGTTCCTATGAGCAGAAGCGGAAAAGGGCCGGAAGAGGTGAATAGCCCAACCGCATTCTCACCCGCTGCTCCCATGGCTAATACTACGACATCGAACAAGGCGCGTAACTCCTCAAGCAGCACATCCCGTCCCTTCAAGCAGTCAGCCAGCCAGTCGATCAAACAGCCAGTCAGGCAAACCGTTTAGGGCAGGGCGCCGACTGATGCAGCAATAGGTGCAGCAGTGCAGAAGGGTTCGAGGATATACCACGCACGCATGCAACAGAGCAAGTCACATGAGGACGAAATTTCTGGATACGCCCATAGGGAGAACAGCACGCCTCGGGCCGCCGAGAGGAATACGTAACACATTTTCGGAGAGGCGACACATATAATGACCGCAAGCAGACACATGTTGCAAGCCAAAAGCTCAACAGCAGGACGAAGCGCCAGACGCACTGTGACCAGAAGCCTCAAGCGGTTCCCTCTAAACCGGCATCATCCTTGAGGGCTTCATTCATGGGCTCTACACCCATCCCTAACTGTCCGTTTTCCCATACAGCAGGTAACGCTGAGACTTTCTAAGGCTCCTGTGCTTCAGGTAAGCCCTATGCAAAAGGCTATTGCAAAAAGCTAAGGCCTAAAGGCACTATGACGGGGTAGAAAAAGGCGCGACCCCACCAGCATCACGTTGCCGCGGAAGAAAACATTCGGCGTCTCTGCCACCTGATTTGACATCCCGCAAAGTATGAAGCACAAACACACATTGTGGCTCGCGTTAAATATTTGTGTGTCGGCATGGAGCTGCCTGTAACCCCGCCGGCACGCCTCAAAGTATCCTTTGGGCGAGGAGTCTCGACTTACTGCGGCTAATTGGTGCGCTGCAGCCTTCATTTCGGGCTTATCCGCAGCTACACCGTAGCGAACTAAGCCGAATGGAGTCGGTAGTTTGTCTATCAACACAATCTCGATCTGCTGGTGGTGGAGGCGCGCCTGCCGCAGAAGGGCCTTTGCACAGTAGAACCCGCTTGGTCCGGCACCCACGATGCAGACAGTAAACGTTCCGAGACTCTCTAGCTGAAGATTCTGATCTGATTCAGCCGCTTGAGATGAAAAATGTCCTCTGTAGACCTGCATGCACTGCACTGAGGTGCAGCGTTCGAGCTGCAAGCGCAGCGGAGACGAAGCTTGCAGTGGACACGCTCGCTCGTACAGCCGACCTATCGGTAGTGCTAAAGGTGTTGCCTGTGCGCGTGTTGGCGATGCAGCCCTTCCTGGTATTGCTTTTTGTATGCACCCTATGCCCCGGTTCAGCGTATACAGTGCAGACGCAAGCGCTCCATATGACCTTTTGTCTGCGGGCAGGAAACCAACATGTCCTGCCCGCGGTAGCACCCTCATCAGTCCCAATGAGAAGCTGGTCATGAGGAAAGGAAGCGGTTTCAGACGTGAAGGCACAGGGAGCAGATGCCGCTACCGACTAAATGCAGCAGTAGCACCTGTTGCTCCTCTTGCGGTTGCTGATGCGAAGCCTTGATGGTGTGAGCACTACACACAAAAGCGCCTGGCTCATAGATGCAGGGATCAGAATAAGGAAGGCAAAAGGCGAGTTGCACTATGTGGGACTGAGGTGGCGCGATTCGATGGGCTCCTCGCCGTGAGCACTCCAACAAGCATGCATTTTGTAGACCTTCACGCCAATGAAATGATCCCCTTTACTTTAACAGATAATTATTCGAAATGCAAGCAGGTATCTTTCACACGGCCACAAGACGAGAATCCGGCTGTAGTGACAGCAGCAATCGCTCGGCGACAGTCTCGAGTATGAACGGTAGCCGGAGGCAATCAGACAGTTTTCATGGGAGAGATTGCCAATCTATTAGGCTCATCAAAAAGGTTGGATGGTGCGAATCCTACTACAATGTGGAAAGAGAAGGTGGATACGTTGATCCTCAATAGCCTCACAGAATTCTCCTCACTGCTACCTGCAGAATAATCCGTTTTGAAGATGGAGGAAAAGGCGCACCGGCAAATTCAGCATCCCTTGTCTACACATCGGACCACGTAAAAATCTGCTTTACTGATTTGCGCTCAATTTGCCTTACCAAGGAGCTCTTTATACGACAGGAAAAACAAACACAGGGCTTGCTTGCATTCAGGAGAGGGGTCTGCGCTGGGTATGCTGCAGATCCATTTCATAGCAATCCGTAATCCGCTGTGTGCTAGTTCAAGAACATACTGTCTGGTCGCCTTGTGGCTGTTTCACTTGACGCATGCACCGATCCCGCCCAAACTAGACGAGAGACAAGGGCATGCCTGCTGAGCCACCATTGTAGAGGATGCATGGGCATATGGATTTGAGAGAGAGCATGTGCTACATAGATTGCCCTCAGAGGTATCTTCTCGGAAGGTCACATTCTCTTGCAATTCATTGCTATTGTACGGAAGCAATGAGTGGTCGCTCATGCTCCACCTCTATGTGAACCTACGATACACGCACCTCCCCCAGGTTCTCTGTTCCATGAATTTGGGTTGCAGGTGGCAAATTGCAATGGTAGCGTTACTTATAAAACTATACTTTACGGCAGCATCCTTTCCGATGGTAATTCGAAGTGTCAACATGCCTACAAACAAATATATGCTATCTAGCATGACGACTGGGGTGAGCATGCGAATTGTGTCTGCCCACCCGGCGGATGTGGGATCTACACCTCAAGAATGAGGTATACTCGGAGAGCATCTACAAACTCAGAACTTCTATGCAGCGCTAAGTGCAATCATTCATGGGCTGTTCGACGATAATGCATCACAAGAAACACATGTGCACGTAAAGTTATACCATAATTGTCCACTATGCGCTTCAAAGTCAAGTTTCAGGCTCAACCATCCAAATCTTTGATGTGGTCGAATCTTGATGCCAGCTGTTTTACGCTGGGGCTTGCATTCTTCATCGACATGCAAGAGCTAACCTGCAACACCTCTAAAGTCTCTTTGCTCGCTTGCTAGTTAGGCGTCATGTAAGCGCCTGTCAAGCGCAAGTAGCCGGTTTGCGCATCAAATGTAGCCAACAACATCGCTTACACGGCGACTCTGGGAATGACTGTCGTCCCTACCGCAGCTGTCACTGCTCCACAACAGCCAACTGGGCTACCAAAGCTTTATTTCTACGGAAAAAGCTGCATTCGTCGCTCCTCCTGTACATCCAAGCGATAGAGGGGGGGGGGAAGCGGGAAGAGGAATACAAAGCGGTTAAGGATCCTGGAAAAGGAATTCGTATTGGCTTCAAATATATCACTGAGAAGCATTGCCGAAGATTTGGTGCGTAAAGCTCTCCTTAGGAAGCTCTGTGGCATGCCCTCTTATTGTAGAAAAGTTTTCTCCATAAACTTCTCGCGATAGTTCACTCATTTCAAGATACAGTGCAGGATCCTACCCGCTTCTCGGGTGATCTGCCACCTGCGTTCCCTGCTTCATTGATTGTTCTCTGAATTGACTGCAAAGTTCGCAACATCTCCAGTTATGTGTGCACGAATACTTCCGTTTTCCGCCTGCTTTCGACTCCGCCGCTTCCTAGACAGCCGATCGGACTTGACGGGTGTGGTGCTGCCGGTACCTCCTCCGTCTTCTGGTACGATGGAGTTCAAGTCGTCAATCTGGCCCCCGGGATGCGATCCATGGCAATTTTCGACGTCTGCTAGATTTATTACCTTTGCCCTTCTTACGGCTTCTGCCAAGAAGTTGACTGCGAAAGCTCTCCAGATCGTCGTGGTGATCTGCCTCGACCGCAGACGCGCTGCTAAGCCGGGAAGTGCGCATGAGTTCTTCTCAAAATAGGCATCCTCCAGCTGCTCCTCAGGGGTTGACGCTGCCCATTGCGTGAACTTTCCTTAGGCTGCGACAATTTTTTGACAAGCGACCCCAAGAGGTTACTGCAATACCCACAATGACCAATCCAACGGCACCTGATGAAACGCGTCCAAAACAAAGGACTGCGAGGCTGCTTCCAAGTGCGGAAGAAGCTTCCCTAGAACTCCTTCTGCCGAGGCGAAGGCCGTTCCATGCCTCGCCGTATCCATCCGTGTGGCATTACCCGTCATAAACAGCAGCGCCAACAGCGGAAGTCTTACAAGCAGCTCCCGGTGTTGCAGCACTCATTTCGGCATGCGGCGTTCCTGCTTGCGAACTACACTGTCCAGCTGATACACCCCACGGGCAAGCGATATCACACCGCTCGAAACAAATCCGAGCCAAAGTCTCCATGCAGCTACCCAAACCGCCGCGCTCACTGCGCTGTCCATGCGATTCAGCGCGAGGGTATGCCGCTCGATGTGGCTTCCCAGACGCGAGCCTGACTTCTGATACAAATAAAACAATAAGCAGGCACTTGCAAGCACAAAGCCGAAAAGCACGAGCTGTAGACCTCCCCTTCGAGCTGCTCTGGCCTCTGCATGCAGACGCGTGGGATGCGTTTCCGAAGAGGGTCAGAGTCTTGAGACTTAGAGAGCAGCTTGCCGCAGTTTTCACCGATTCCTCTTCGGCTTGGATGCGCGCAAAAAAGCATCAAAGCGTCTTGAGCCATCCGATCCCCTTCCTCCCCAGTTAAGCTGCCAACCTCAGCAAGTTGCATCAGGCGCAAGAGGGCGTTGTGCAAATGTGCATCAGGTAGCGCCTACGATCCTCATGCTGAAGGATTGATTGGGCAAGATTTTCTGGTGAAAGGGCAGTCACACTGATGACGCAAGTAGAAGACAAAGCTTAGGAAATCGCTCAATGTGAACAACCCTGGGCTGCTCGCCAAAATGCCACGTGCTTCGTCGAAAGCATGTATGGCCGCTCTCCCAGGTTGGTTGGTAGCCTCCACCTTGATGAAACGGGATGAGCTAGAAGATGGTTCATTGAGACCATGACACAAGCGAAAAAGCGGTTCCCCATAAGGCAAAGCGAGAAATCCTACGCAAAAGAGAAATAGGAGCACTGCCACATGATCCCTTGGTCGTGTGTGTTGCCTAGGCCTCTCGATGGCGCAGCGCCTCTCCCACGCGAGAGAGCAAAAGCAGCGGTATGGGGGCTGTGCCGAAGCTTGAGCAACGGTAATTGATGCTAAACAACTGCAGCTGCTGCCTTGGGAACCAACTGCAGCAGCGCACAGGCTGCTGCTGCCCTCATTGCATCCTGCAAAACACAAGAGGGGAAAGCCTTCCGCAGTAGCCCACCTAAAGTGTAGGCACGCGTACCCCTCTCTGCTCAACAGGAAAACTCTATCAAACTTAGCAGAGAAAAGAAATTATAAGGGAGGAGAGGAAACTGAGTTGACAGGTTCCCCTGTGGGGCTGCGCCGTCGTCACTTTCGGCCCTTCGGGCAGGCTACTAGCTGCCAACATTCAAACTGCAGGCTGTTATGTTTGACTTTACCTTTGCCAGCTGCACTGCGCAATGAATTCAAGGTGTATGTATGCAGGCTCTTGCATTTAGTGAGCCTGGGGTTGCAGCCGATCACTGCAGCCAGCACTCAATCGATCATAGTGGCGGCTGTCTCAGCCAGAGCCACGGACAACACTGGCAGCGTTTTCCCTCCTTGCTGAAGACTGCAATGATATATCAGCGCATTGAAGGCCGTTCGTGTTGCCTGTAATTTGCAAGCTATGGCACTCCTTCGCTTGCCAGCGCACCTGCAGCAACGGCATTCAGTGTTGGTTTTCGCGCTGGCGCTACACCTCAAGTTTTCGGCGCAGTTTTGTGCTGCTTCTGCAATACCGTGGGGCAGAGGAGGCGTGGGCCCAGCGGATGCACAGCAGGAAGATGGAGGGGCATTCAGCAACTTCCAAGAGCTGAAATCCTTGAAACAAGCCATGCCGACAGACTTTAGGTGGAATCCTATGACCGAGACCTACCCGCGAGTTCACGGTTCCAGTTTTTCTGCAAACAATCCGATCGCAGCCCCTCTATCCGCGGATTATCGCAGTTTTGAATCCTTCGTTTTGCCTCTTAGAGACTCGCGCTATCGAGGCTCTGTCGACAGCACTCTCTTTGCGGCGGGTTCGGATGCTCCGGAGCTTTCTCGGAGGGGGCCAAGTCCAGACTCGAAATCCGTTTATTTCAACGCTTCCGGTAAAAAAGAGGCTTCCTTGGATACATTAGCTGCAGAGGGCAGCCTACCTAGAGGCTCCCACAAGGCCTTCTCTGCGCCGCGGGCAAGTGAGCTACCGGGGATGCGGCGAATGTTGCTGGGCCTGCTGCTCCTAACGGTTGCATCCTGGTTGGCTGTCGGAATCAGTTTACAGGATATTAAGAGGCAAGGTATGCCGAAGCAGACCCAGGAAAACGGTGCGGAGGCTCGCGAAAACTCGCAACAGAACGTCGCGCTGCATGACCTTGCCTATGAAGCTTTGGGTCTGTTGAATCCTGCCTTCAGCGTTATCGCGAAAGGCTATAACCTCTTCATGAAGGAAGGCGATGCGAAGAAGGAAAAGGAATTGGCTGCCCCTCCTTCGCTGCACTGGCTGCAGCGCACTGCGATGCATGTAAAAGAGCACCCTGTGCTGGTTACGATGGAGAGTATTAGCTTGCCGTTGGGGCTGTTACTATTCATCTTTGGGTTCATGAGGATGACCAGATCGCTTCCAGGATACGTGAGGCACAAGTTGTTGAGAACTACCATAGGGCAGGGGTCCAAGCCGGCAACGGACATGGTGGTAGAAGGGCAGTTGCCAACTGCACATGAGGAGCATCCCTTGCCGAGCGCAGCGTAACCATGAAGGGCGGGGTCGTGAGAAATCATGAGAGTCGAATAGCGTGCGGTGTTCCTGTGCTTAGGAGTCGCAAACGGGTCATAATAGCAGTCTCTTGCGTTTCACTGCAAGGGGCGCGCGAAAAAGTTCATATGTATTGTATTTTTACCATGCGTGTGAGCATGAGACAAAGCTTTCGTTTCGATTGGCTTCCGGAGATACATACATGTAATAAATCTTGATATGTATGGGACGTGCACAGGCAATGAAGCGGTCATTGGGGTTCTAGGAAGAACATGCACTTATACAGTCAGCGCAGGGAGCGCTTTCCCTGGTGGCCAGCTAGCTAGCCATCCAAGCTTAGGAGAAGGTACAGGGTTTGTTTACGTGGTTGATGGTAAGATTTTTTCTCCTTCTCCCTTTGAACGCTGCCAGGCATGCACATGGCACTTTTGCCTGGGTGTGAGCAACCGACCGACCAGCTGTATTTTACTTTTATGTGACGCCTGCCTCCTGCCGGACAGCGGCCCTTAGGGGTGTAAAGCTTTTGTTTCTTTGCCCTCTGGGTAAGACAACCCTAAGCTCTGTGCCTTTCCGTTAGAAGGGCACATGCCTGCTCGAAGGAGTGCCTGATCAGGCGTCTTTCCAGCCTTGTTGATGCTTGAACCCAAAAACCTTAGCACGAGGACTTGTTAGTAGGGCGTTCATTTAGTTTATGAAGGAGGAACCTTTCTCTTTTTCCTATTAGCTCGCTTTAGCAGCACCAACGCGGGTCGACGGACGGAAGGCTGCATGAGCTGCCCGCCAGCATTCCTTTTTGTGCTTTCCAGTGCACGAGCGAGATACCACGATAGCTGGTGAATGTCTCAATGAAGCACTAAGCAAGAAAGGCGTAGGATGCTTCAGGGGGCAGGGGGGGATATTGTCTCTGCATCCCATGCCTACGATAGTGCAGGTTGTAGTGGCGAATCTCTCGACAAAGGGGTAGTGGTTTCTGAGGTAAGGGGGACGCGAGGCCGCCGATACATAAGGCGCAGTCTGTGTAGAGTGTGTGAACGAGAACCCAAGGAGCAAGCGAAAAGTCGCCGTGCTGAGTGGTGAGCGAGTCAGTCTACACACGAAGAAAGCCCCTGGGGGGCCGTTGCGCTGCATGCGTCTGCCGTATCTGCCTGGACGTTGCACGTTTCTAGTGCTTCCTAGGCTAGGGGGGCAGGCGGGAGGCCCTAAGGATGCCAATTTCTCTTGCGGCCTCATGCTCCTCTCTTGAGGGTCGTGTTGCACTACCCTGCCTTTCGGGATTTTCTGCTAGAGTTCTTTTTCGCCGCGTGCCCTCTGTCGTCGGCACGGGGAGGGAGCTGCTCTGCATCTCGTAATTTGGCCCTTACTTCTTTCGGCTTACTCTTGGATTGTGGGGCCACCTCGCTGCGTGGTGGTTCGCCCTCTGCCTGCTTCCTGCGACCTCCCTCGCCCTCGTTTTCCTTTTCGGTATCTTTTCCTACCTCCTTGAGCTCCTCTCGTAGCATGATTTCGAGGCCCTCATCTGCGAGGGAAAGCCCCTGGATACAGCGACGCAGACGCGCATGCACGTAAGAAGCCTTTGTGCGGCTTCCCAGCCTTTAGAGGATGTAAGGCCCCTAGCGCAGGGTGGGTGGAGGCGAACAAAGGGCCTCGAACGAGGCAAGGTGCGAAGCGCCCTCACGAGCAACGCTCGTCTCGCAAACTCCGCAGCCCATGCAGCACTAGGGGGAAAGGAAAATGAAGCGCGGTAAACATACGGCTGCGGTAAAATTGCACTTTCTGCAGAAAATAGGGTTCTCAGACAGGCAGGTGGTTGTAGGTTCCTAGGGAATCTGATTGAGCGGGGGAGCAAGGCTAGGGGCAGAAGAGAGGCCACCCGACAACGCGTCACACACACTCACAGACCCACCCACCCACCCCACACAACAAAAAGGTGGTATGCATAGCAGTCGTGTCCATACGTAATACACCGCGCAGCGATCAACTGGCTTTGTGAAAAGGCCTCAACTTACGCCTTCGGCATCCGAATATCCGCGAGCCGCCGCGATCTTGAGCAGAAGCTCCTCTGTCACGCTCTTCAGCGCAGAGACGCTCTCCTAAAAAATCCACAAGGAAGCGTCGCACACCCCGTAGATCCCTCCGCCTCTTCCCAAAGTCTAACCTTCTTGACCCATCTTGCGGGTAGCGAAAACGCAGCCTTCCCTGTCGCGCTGGTGCCTGCTTTGTTCTCAAACTGCATGGAAATGTAACTGTTTCAATGGCAGAAAGGATCATCTAGCGTCCTCCGAAGCCTTGTCGCCAAGCGCCGACAAACAGATAGACAAACAGACAGACAAACAGATACACAAACATACAGACAGATAGATAGACAAACAAACAGACAGATAGACAAACATACAGACAGACAAACAGACAGACAGACCTCGTTATACGCATTCGCCATGGCTTGTCCTTGTAGCTGTTGTTGCTGCAGCAGCTGCTGCTGCTGCTGCTGATAGCAGGCGTCTCCTCCTCCGTGGGGGCCCCCCTGTTTGCTGCGAGCTTTGTTCGCAGCCTTCATGGCTGCCTTCTTGCAGAGGTCGCGGAGCTGCGTTGCTGCAGCCTCGGAGGCTCCCACGGAGGTTCTCAACAGATGCCAGCAGCCACAGAGTCTTTGCAGCGCTTTTGTGATGTTGGGGGCCCCAAGTACCAGTGCGCTTAAGGCCCCCAAGTACACAAAAAGGCAGGAAGAGAGGGCCTCTTGGGAGGCCCCCTGCAGGGTGACAGCGCGGGGCCCGGGGGCCCCCAAAGGCCATAGGGCCCCCCCCCCCCCCTGAGTGCCAAAAAGTGCATCCAAGGAATCGGAAGAGCCGTCCTCAAGCGACAAAGGCTGCCCCTGAGAGGGAGATCCCGCAGAAGCTAAGCTAGATACCCGTATGCAGATCTTGTCGATAAGCGCCTCACTCTGTCTTCGTCCCTTTGTAAACTCTAAAATGAACCTGCACAAACACATGCATATATATATGCATATATATATATATATGCATATATATATATGCATATTATATATACATATATATGCATATTGTACGCACCGCAAAAACCCTGCATCCAACATAGGTGTACTTCAGCTACCTTAAGCTGAAACACGAATCCACGAGCAGCAGCAGCAGCAGCACGCAGACGCAATCCTCCGCAGTGCAATCGCGGATGCAGAAAACGGCAATGCGAGGAGCGCAGCAAGCTGTAAAAGGCATGTTCCAGCTAATGTGTGTGCATGCATGCATGCATGCATGCGTAGCTGACATATGGTGCTTACGCAAGAAGCCTCTCTCTGTCTTGCCGCCGTCCCGTTGCAACAGGCCCTTCGGCTGCAGCAACATGCGCCGAGCTTCCTGCTGCTGCTGCTGCTGCTGCTGCTCCTTGCGGCGGAGGACTGCTGCTGTCAGGTGCTGCAGTTGCAATGGCTAATGCCGTGAGGAGCTCTGGAAGCGCTGTCAAGACTGCAAGAGGATCCTTTCTGTCGACTTCAAAGAAGAATGTGCGGGCTGCTTCTTCCACCCTCCGATCCCGCGGAGGCTGATCCTGCTGCTGGGGATACTGCAGCTGCAGCAACAACATGTTCACCAGCAGTCGACCTTTCGGCTTGATCATGCCTGTCATCGTAAGATGCGTCAGCACATGCACCGCTGTCAGCTGTCCAGACACCGCCCCCTCGCGGAGAAGCGAGAACACATAGTCGTTGTATGGCTCCAAAGCATTCGGGTGCCTGCAGCAGGTCGAGCAGTTTCACTTCAAAGGTGCTACCACTCAGAATGCGGCACACGAAGACTTACAGACGCAAGCAAAGCCCCTCGGCCTTCTGACGTCTACGTTCATGTGTGTGTATGTATGAGATGTTTGTGTGGTTGTGATGTTTGTGTGCATGTGGGATTGTATTCGTGTGTAAGTATGTATGTATGTATATCTGTGTATGTGCGATCGTATGGATGTCTGTGTATGTGCAATTTTATGTATGTCTGCGTATGTGCGATCGTATGGATGTCTGTGTAAGTGCAATTGTATGTATGTAGGTAAATATATATGTGTATGTGTGTTTGTATATGTATGTCTCTGTGTGTGGGTCTCTGTGTGTGTGTATGTGTATCTCTTTCTGTAAAAGTGTATCTCTCCCTCTCTGCGTGTATGTGCGCATTTTTTTTAAAAGAGTATATCTCTCCCTCTCTCTGCGTGTGTGTGTATATGTACGTACCTGCATGTGAGATCGCCAAAGCACACCAGAATAGCGTCTTTGAGTCCAGGAGGTTCTACATCTTTGGGGAGACGCGTTCGGGGGCCTTCGAGGGGCGTGGGGGGCCCCCCTCTAGGGGCCCCCTCTCTAGGGGCCCCGAGCTCAGGCCGCCCCTCCTTCGCGAAAAGCAGGGAGATCAAGGCATGCAGCGTCGTGGTTTGGGGCCCTAGGAGCTCGTCACAGAAAGTTTTAGAGACAGCTGCATACTTGGAGAGGGAAAGGACTGCTGCCTGTTGCAGCAGAGCTGCAGCCGCTGCGGAGTCTTTTTCGTCGTTCGCGGGAATCTGCTGCCCTAAGCGCTGCACGAGTTTCAGCGGATCGAAGGCACCCAAGAGGATCAGTCGCTTGTAGGGGCCCCCCAGAAGGCCGTGCTGCGTAATGCCGTGCTCAATGAGGTGTTGCAGCAAGTCTACGTCATCCTCTTCTCTGGTCTGCATGCCTAGGTTCCTCTCGACCTGTTGTTGTATTTGCTGGTGTTGCTGCTGCGCTCGTGCTTGCGCGTGCTGGTGTTGCTCGTGTTTTGAATGCCTAGCCTTGGTGTCTCTTGCTGCACTGTCGCTGTCTCCCTCAGCGGCAATGCCTTCGGCTGCCGCCTGCTGCTGCTGCTCGGGAAGGGTACCGTCAGCCTTGAGATGTCGCAGCTGCTTCAGCTCCATCTGCAGCTGCTCGAGCAGCACGCAAGTTCTTAGCGCAACGTGTCCAGCGAGGAAGAGCAGCTGCGCAAGACGCAGAGGGCTGGGGGCCCCCTTGATGGGGGGAAGAAGTACTGGACAAGGCTCCTGAGGGGCCCCCACGAAACAGCCTTTCAGCAGTGGCTCCTCACTTGCTGCCGCTAAGGCCATAGGCGGAAGTGCCTGCTGCTGCTGCTCTTCTTGCTGCTGGTGCTGTTGCGGATCCTGCTGCAACGACACGGGAGCCGCAGAGAGAAGTTGATGCAGCGCATGCGCCAACAGGCAGCCCCAGAGACGGTCTGCATTCGGGCAGTGCACGAAGGTGGCATCTACCACTGCTTGAGCAGCGGCGAACCTGCGACATTGCACAAGAAACCTTCCTCCGCTGTATATATATACGTATATGTATACATATATGTATACATATCGGCAAGAGGATAATAATGCGTGCTGGCTTGCAATAGGCAGAGGAATGCAGGAGGGGAGCACGCGAAAAGAGGCATTCCCCTGCACACACTGCGGGATGCGCTGCTACAACACACCAGTTGGTGTCCATACACCCCAAATGCTGCATGATGAGCCGCAACGCAGTGGTAGCAACGGCAGCCGTCCGGGTGTCTGCATGCGCGCTAACAAGAATGCTACACAGTTCCCCAAAGACTATGAGTTCGGTCCTGTGGTTTCTACGCCTGGCATTTTCTGTCCCTGCCGCTGCTGCTGCTGCTGCTGCTGTTGCTGCTGCTGCTGCTTGATGACGCATCGCTCCCTCGAGGGCCCTCAGCTGGGCGTCACTCAGTCGATGCAGCAGCAGCTGCTGCTGTTGCTGCAGCACTGGACGCAGCCCTTTGCGCAACTCTTGAGTTCTGCGAGAAACGCTGAGCAACAGCCGAATCACACCGAGAGCACAGCGAGGGGCAGCGTCTCTCCCCAACAAAAAGTCTGCATGCAAAGCGCGCACATACGTACACACAGAAACAGAGGCGTCAGCATACAAATAGACACACATAGACAGGCAGACACGCATAGACGGACAGACATACACATACACACACAAACACACACACAAACATACAAATACACACAAATACATACACAAACCCAAATACACACAAATACACAAACACAAATACACACACAAACACAAATACACACACATATAGACGTATATATATATATCTATATCAGGCGGTTATCCAGAAGCAGACAGACGCAAGTACAAGCAAGGTGGTGCGTTGGCGCTGTAGGAGAGTGTTGCAGCAACAAGCAGAGGAGAATCGCAGAGAGAGGCAGCATCTGCAGCCTCAGCTAGGAGGCCTCCAGATTGCGAGGAAGAAGTAAGAGACAGTGCATGCGAGCGAGAACTCCCCTTCCCCCTAAGGCAGCGGGTAGGAAGTGTCTTGTGGCTGCATCCCTCCCCAGTAGAAATCAGGAGAGAGGAGGTACACATGCACCTAATTTATGATCTCCCAAGTTTTCAAGGAAGTGTGTGCATGCATGCTTTTGGAATAGGGTGGAGAGGGAAAAGACTTTCGGTGTGCAGCAGCTCATAGCATGCGGACTTGGTTGCAGGGTGAGAACAAAGAGCGCCTGCAGAAGTCTCTTGAAGTGAACAACGTTGTTAGAATCCGTGATGAGAAGCTGGAAAAGCTTCTCAAGGGAGGCAAAATCACGCATGTCGCCTCCGCCTATGAGCTGCAACAGTCGCACTGCGGAGAGTCGATACCACGATCCATTGCTTGCCGAAAGCAGCAGCTGCCTCTCCTGCTGCTCCTGCAGTTCCTTGTCTTCTTCCTCCGTCCCCTCCTCCTGTGAAGCCTGCTTGAGATGCTGTTCGGAATGACGCTTCTTGAGAGGCAATGGTCGCGATGGCTTCTTCTCAAGAAACAGCCCCTGCCGCTGGAGCTCCTGTGCGAGCTGCAGCTGCTCCCGCAGCAGCTGCTGCTGCACCTGCAGCGTCCGCGGATGCAGCAGCAGTCTGCTGAATTGCGCCGCTGCGAATTCTGAGACTGCAGACACACGAGAATACGCCAGCCGCAGACAGAGACGCAGCGGCAACAGCAACTTGCTGCGCTGCAACTGCAACATGCATGCGCAGTCCACGATGAAACGGCATGCGGCCTTTTGATCAACTTCAGGTTTAGAGCTGAGCAGTTCTACAGCCCTGCGTAAGGACAGACACACACAAAATATATATTTATATAGATTAACAGATCCACATCGGCATACCAGGCTAACGATCAAGGAAGCAGTAGCAACTCCTGTGTTCCCCCCACAACCCCAACACCCCCAACACCCCGAGTAGAGGGCAGGCATCAGAGGCGACAAAGAGGGATGCAAGAGCAAGCGGCCGCATTTCAGAAAAAGCAAAAGCATGCGGAGCAAAGCCACCCAAAGCGACTCTGAGAAAGTACGAGAGAGAGAGAGAGAGAGAGAGAGAGAGAGAGAGAGAGAGAGAGAGAGAGAGAGAGAGAGAGAGAGAGAGAGAGAGAGAGAGAGAGAGAGAGAGAGAGAGAGAGAGAGAGAGAGAGAGAGAGAGAG